CTCTCACAGTCACTACTATTGAGCCAGGTACCACCTATACTGTACCTGTGTATTTGGTTTTCCTTGCCTAAATGTAGAAGAAGGATAGAAGGCCAAACGTTTTGTGTAGAACAGCCGAGAGACATCGGTGTTCCGACTTTATGGGGAAAGAAGCATATTTCTGATCCAGGGCCAAGAATTGATGCCACATGCTTTGGGATCTCAGCCTCCTGATTCATGCAAGTAATTAATTAGTCTAATTAAACGATCACAATTAATGCAATCACAACAGAGGGCTATCTGGGCTTCAGTGTGTGGAGGAGCTGTGGATTGTTGGTTCTTTGTCCAACTGTAGGGGAAGTTGGACAACTAGATAGGGTTGAACCAGAATATCCCTTCTTATGACATAGGACCATCTCTACATGGCCATACTGTGAGATGATAGACAGCAATGCACAAAAGATGGGAATGAGACCTCCTCAGATCCTTGATGCTGTCACTGAAGCTTACCTGGCTGTCTTGGTGGCATCCGCTCTCAACATTTTCACGGCCACCAAAATTGCCCGGCTGGAACTTTCTGGAGAAGCAGCACGGCCCAAGAATTCCAGAAGACCAACAGCTTCACAAAGGTGGACCTGTCCATGTGAAGGGCCAACCCATGAGAACAAAAATTAGGCCACGCTACAAAGTATCTCCAGAGTTCAACCTAACCGATTGATGGACAGCCAATGAAGTGTCCTACATCTCCTTGGGTTACTGATCTCTGAGTGGGAAATATGATCTACTCACTTCCCCACCCTGTCCTTCTCGATGTACTCACCTCCCCAAATTGTCCTTCTCCCAACTTCTCCTTGAGCTGCAGGTGGTGACGGGGAAACTCAGCGATGGAGATGTCCTTCTTGGTCAACGAGTCAACCGTGATGGCTGGCACGGCGTAGGTATTGTTTCCTGTCACCCCTTGCAAGTTGACGATGTCCGTCTCGGCGTAATGGGGGACGTTATTCTGGAATCCCTGGTGAGGGGTGCACTTGGTGACGTCGGGCTCTGCGTAATCGCCACTGCAGGCTGGAAGACCAAGGGAGACAAAATGGGTTTGGGCCAACGTCATGGTCAAAACCCTACGCAACTCATTTGGGAGGTTCTTCTTGCTCCGTTGGGCCAAGCAAAGAGAGTTTTAGAAAAAGATTCTGAAGGCTCTTCCAATCGGACACTTCCTTTTTGAAAGTCTCAAACTTTCTGGGCATATGAAAGATGAAAGTTTCTGAGTCTGCTATCAAATTAACTTATTTAGGTGTTTTGATTGTAGAC